GGTTAAAGGGCCCAAAACAAAAAAAAAAAAAAAAAAAAGATTCCACGGGGTGTGTGCTGTTCATAATGTCATGGAATAAAATTATGTGGGTCACATATGAGAGAAAGAGAAAAAAAACGGATTTCGGCCACATTCTCCTGCAATGTGGGCAGTGGGCAGTCGTGGCCTAATGGTTAGAGAGTCAGACTTGTAACCTGTGGCTTAGAGTCTCAGGTCCGGCAGGGATTGTCGGTGGGGGGAGTGAATAACCGATTTACCAAGGGTGCCAATAATTCTGACCACAACTGTATATAGACTAAATGCTATAATATCACTATGTAAACCAAAAACTTCAACCAACACAATTTCAAAAGCCAGTAATTATGAATGAACATCTAATCATCAATTTTGCTGTATTTAACAGTGAAACCCACCAATAATAGAGAATTATGTAATTAGCATAAGGGTCAGTTTGTTCAATTATTGCAATAATTGTGTGCATTCTGTAATCAACACAGTAAGACAAAAATTGATTGTTAACACTTGTTACACTTCCCCCAACAATTTCTTGACATAAGCTGAGGACAATATGAATGCTATAAATAAATTGATATCTCTGAGACTGCATGTCATAGCTCACAAAACAGTTACAACTAGGGTTCTCATTCACACAGATACTCACACAAACTTACATTTTCTAGATTAAGATAAAGACCCCTTAAGATTACCTGTAGGAAGAAAAGAAGAAAAACACATCTTAAGCACACAGAATAACATAAATGGACTTTGAACGATTAATTGCCACTTTGAACGATTACGTAATTGTGGCATCCGTGATTGTAACTGCGATTAGAAATCGGATATGTTGTAGGGCTGCACAATTAATGTAAAAAAAAATAAAAATTATGTGGGTCACATATGAGAGAAAGAGAAAAAAAACGGATTTCGGCCACATTCTCCTGCAATGTGGGCAGTGGGCAGTCGTGGCCTAATGGTTAGAGAGTCAGACTTGTAACCTGTGGCTTAGAGTCTCAGGTCCGGCAGGGATTGTCGGTGGGGGGAGTGAATAACCAGCGCTCTCTTCCACCCTCAATACCACGACGGAGGTGAGACCCTTTAGCAAGGCACCGGATATGGCTGGAATATGGCTGCCCACTGCTCCGGGTGTATGTTCACTACTGTGCGTGTGTACACTTGGGATGGGTTCAATGCAGAGCACAAATTCTGAGTATGCGTCACTTCACTTCACAATGTGAACGTAGCCAGTATGAGATTGGATCAAACTGTGACCAAAAAAAATAAATAGAACATGACAATAGCAGATGTTTGACCTTAGATAAAGGGATAGTTCACTCAAAAAGAAAGAAAATTCTCACTTATGTCATTCTAAACCTGTAAGACTTCCTTCTGTGAACCACAAAACAGAGCATTTTAAAGAATGGTAGCCATTGACTTTCGCTGAGTAGAATACATGATTTTGACTTTCTGGGTAAACTATCCCTTTAACATTTTAAAATTTGTGTTTCCATGTCTTTTTGTTTTGTTTTTTTGTGAGTGAATAAAATAGCACATTTTAAATTACACAAACTTACATTTTCTAGATTAAGATAAAGACCCCTTAAGATTACCTGTAGGAAGAAAAGAAGAAAAACACATCTTAAGCACACAGAATAACATAAATGGACTTTGAACGATTAATTGCCACTTTGAACGATTACGTAATTGTGGCATCCGTGATTGTAACTGCGATTAGAAATCGGATATGTTGTAGGGCTGCACAATTAATGTAAAAAAAAATAAACCCAACCACTAGCAAAATTAATGAGCAAATGTTTAAAATCTTTTAAAAACTGCCTATATTCAATTATGAGTTTTTGATGTCTCAGTCAACGAGAAACAATGCAACTGCAAAATGTGACCTCATAAAACCATAACTGCTTGACATCATAAAACTAGAATTACTTAATCATTATTAGCCTACAAATAACACAAACTAAAGTACTTAAATCAGTTTGTCATTTGGATTACCTCAAGACTAAAGGAATGAGGCATTATTGTGACAAGAATGGACAAGTACTGCTATGTTAGAGTCTGCGTTCTTTAATACTTCTAAGAATAGATAAACAAAATAAGGTGAATAAATAAATAGATAAAATATATTTCAATGCTTTTGTGTTTGCTAACAAAACATTTGCATTTTGCATTCTTTTGGAAAAGTATTACATTCCCCTGATAAACGTAGTGTTCACTTGCAAAAAATATTGAAATAGGGTTAACTCTGAATATTTGGGACGCCTCTGCTGTTAACATTTTGTTGGCATACTAGGTAAAGTTACCTAGTTGATATTGCTTTTTTTCTTGTCTGTATTTGCATGAATAGTAATCCAAATGACATTGTTTTAAATACTTCCGTTTTGGTGTTATTTGTAAATATGCAAATACAGACAAGAAAAAAAGCAATCTCTTTTTCCAAAAGAATGCAAAATGCAAATGTTTTGTTAGCAAACACAAAAGCATTGAAATATATATTTGTATCTTTTTTTATTCACCTTATTTTATTTATCTATTCTTAGCAGTATTAAAGAATGCAGACTCTTAACATAGCAGTACTTGTCCATTCTTGTCACGATAATGAGTGGTTCACCCACAGCTTCCTCATACCTTTGTCAGTTCCTGCTTCCTCTATTTTCAGAATGAAACACACTGTTAAACCGATAAAATACTTGATGAAACAGAACCAGCTAATCGAGTTGTGTTAGGTTCTTATCTCAGTCATAACACTCACTAAATGACTTTAATGTGAACTTAACATTGTGTTTTGTTTGTGTGGTTCAATATAGTAATTTACAGAGATACACCTGGATACTGCAAAGTGAAAATGATATAACAGTCTAGACGCATTCAATTATAGTTTAAGCATATACAGTGCATAAATCTCATACTTTGTTACATTTTTTACATTTATCACTAGGTTTAGTAGACAAGGCACTCATATGTATAAAATAAAGTCACAGATAACAATGTTAGTCACGCAAGAGTTATCACAGATCACCAGTCTGATAAATGATGCCTGATAAAAAAAAAATATATATATATATATATATATATATATTATACATATACACACACACAAAGAAAAAAAAGTAGATAGAATAGAAAAAATAGAAAGCTAGAAAGCTATTTTTGTTGTTGTTTTTTTTTAAATAAAGAACAAAAAA